AAAGTCTGCTTTTCTGAAGTCCAGGGTCTGTATTCTGCTGCTCTCCTTTCTTCCTTGTGTCAGGATCCTGAGTTCGATCATTTTGTTATCACTGCCTCCCAGGTTCCCATCCACTTTTGCTTCCCCTACTAATTCTTCCCTGTTCGTGAGCAGCAGGTCAAGAAGAGCTCTGCCCCTAGTTGGTTCCTCCAGCACTTGCACCAGGAAATTGTCTCCTACACTTTCCAAAAACTTGTCTGTGCCCTACTGTATTGCTCTCCCAGCAGATATTGGGGTGATTGAAGTCCCCCATGAGAACCAGGGCCTGTGATCTAGTAACTTCTGTTAGTTGCTGGAAGAAAACCTCGTCTACCTCATCCTCCTGGTCTGGTGGTCTATAGCAGACTCCCGCCACGACATCACCCTTGTTGCTCACACTTCTAAACTTAATCCAGAGAGACTCAGGTTTTTCTGCAGTTCTATACTGGAGCTCTGAGCAGTCATACTGCTCTCTTACATACAGTGCAACTCCTCCACCCTTTTTGCCCTGCCTGTCCTTCCTGAACAGTTTATATCCATCCATGACAGTATTCCAGTCATGTGATTTATCCCACCAGGTCTTTGTTATTCCAATCACATCTTAATTCATTGACTGTGCCAGGACTTCCAGTTCTCCCTGCTTGTTTCCCAGGCTTCTTTCATTTGTGTATAGGCACTTAAGATAACTCGCTGATCGTCCTGCTTTCTCAGTAAGAGGCAGGAGTCCTCCCCTCTTGTGCTCTCCTGCTTGTGCTTTCTCCTGGCATCCCGCTTCCCCACTTACCTCAGGGCTTTGGTCTCCTTCCCCCAGTGAACCTAATTTAAATCCCTCCTCTCGAGGTTAGCCAGCCTGCTTGTGAAGATGCTCTTCCTTCTCTTTAAGTGGAGCCTGTCTCTGCCTAGCACTCCTCCTTCTTGGAACACCATCCCATGGTCAAATCTAAAGCCCTCTCTCTGACACCACCTCGTAGCCATTCATTGACTTCCATGATTCGACAGTCTCTACCCGGGCCTTTTCCTTGCACAGGGAGGATGGACGAGAACACCACTTGCGCCTCAAACTCCTTTATCCTTCTTCCAAGAGCCACGTAGTCTGCAGTGATCCACTCAAGGTCATTCTTGGTAGTATCATTGGTGCCCACCTGGAGAAGCAGGAACGGGTAGCAATCCGAGGGCTTGATGAGTCTTAGCAGTCTCTCCATCACATCGTGAATCCTAGCTCCTGGCAAGCAGCACACTTCTCGGTTTTCCCAGTCGGGACGGCAGATAGATGACTCAGTCCCCCTGAGGAGGGAGTCCCCGACCACCACCACCTGCCTCCTTCTCTTGGGAGTGGTGGTCGTGGAACCCCCTCCCCCCCCATCCCTAGGACAGTGCATCTCATGCCTTCCAATCGGTGGAGTATCCTTCTGCTCCCTTCCTTCAGATGTATCATCTAGTCCACTCTCCGCATTAGTACCTGTGAAGAGAACATGAAAACGGTTGCTCACCTGTATTTGCATTGCTGGAACATGGATGCTCCTCTTTCTTCTTCTGAAGGTCACATGCTGACAGTTTTCTGCACTGTCCTTCTGTTCCCGCTGCGCAGCCTGCTCTGATTCTTCAGAATGTCCTGGTCCACCACTAGGGAGCTATGGTAATAAAAATAAAAAATTAAACTAGTGCAGGTCATGGGGCACTAGCTTTGTAATAGTTTCCTAGTGCAACTTAACTCATTGTCTTTAACCTAGAAAGCCTTAGTTGCATTAGGGTCTGGTGGAGATACTTTCCTCTTGGTGTGATACTGTGGAGATCAGAGGCACTTGAGCTAAGTGCTCCCTGTGCAACTGTGAGGGGAGAGAAGAGGAGACAGTTTTGGTGAGATTTTGACCTTTGGGTCACACTGCAAGGTTTGCTTGCTCTTCCTGTTTTTTCCTAGGAATAAGGGTCATAGGTGGATGATGGGAAAGGCTTTGGTTTTGGACAGGGTGACTTTCAGGGGAGGCTTGGTTTTGGATACTGGTCCTTAGTTGTATTTTAAATGTGGACATGTGCTCAGAGTAGTGGGTGGGCACTCCTTTAAAATCTGAATGAAGAAGAGTGCAGACTAAGCAAAAGAAAAGCCATCTACTTTATAGACTGAATCTTTTTCTTTGAGCTCCTTCTGTGCAGGGGATGTGTATAGAAAAGGAATAATTCAAACGTCTGAAAGTTTAAACTTAACATTTTAGAGGAGGGCAGGTCCAGTGGTTTATGGCACTAGCCTCGGTCTTGGGCGATCTGGATTAATTTCCTTCTTTGCCACAGATTTCCTGCATGACCTTGGGCATTCACCTTTGACACTCAGTGTTTTAGTTCCCCATTTGTAAAACCGAGGTTTTATTGCTGCTTTACCTCTCAAGGGTGTTGTGAGGATGAGTACATTAAAGTCTGAGGTGCTTAAATACTACTGTGATGGCAGGGTAAGGGGCGGCCAAGTACCTAGGAAATTGTTTTCCTGACACTTCTGAGGAGCTGAGGAATTGGGGAGAATAGTTACCTGCTTGTTCACTCGGTTCTAATGCAACATGGCTAACCTGGGATCGGGGAGCTTAAGGAAGTTTGATTGGCTGCACGGTGCTCTGAAACAGAGAAATAACATTTTCTTCCCTGTTCCCAAGCCAGGAGTTACATTTAGAAACATCCTATTTCTGTCTCAAGAACAGGAGTACTTGTGGCACCTTGGAAACTAACAAATTTATTTCAGCATAAGCTTTCATGGGCTACAGCCCACTTCATCAGATGCATAAAATGGAACACACAGAAGATATTTATCCATACAGAGAACATGAAAAGGTGGAAGTAGCCATACTAACTGTAAGAGGCCAATCAATTGAGATGAGCTATCATCAGCAGGAGGAAAAAAAAAAACACTTTTGAAGTGATAATCGAGGTGACCCATAGAATGTCACAGAAACACCGCCCTATACCGGAAACCTACTGACCGCTATACTTACCTACATGCCTCCAGCTTCCATCCAGGACACACCACGCTATCCATTGTCTACAGCCAAGCTCTAAGATACAACTGCATTTGCTCCAATCCCTCAGACAGGGATAAACACCTACAAGATCTCTATCAAGATTCTTAAAACTACAATACCCACCTGCTGAAGTGACGCCACTAGCTGTCACCTTCAGCCCCCAACTAAAACCTCTCCGGCGCATCATCAGAAATCTACAACCTATCCTGAAAGATGATCCCTCACTCTCACAGATCTTGGGAGACAGGCCAGTCCTCGCTTACAGACAGCCTCCCAACCTGAAGCAAATACTCACCAGCAACCGCACATCATACAGCATAAACACTAACCCAGGAACCTATCCTTGCAACAAAGCCCGATGCCAACTCTGTCCACGTATCTATTTAAGTGACACCATCATAGGACCTAATCACATCAGCCACGCTATCAGGGGCTCGTTCACCTGCACATCTACCAACGTGATATATGCCATCTTGTGCCAGCAATGCCCCTCTGCCATATACATTGGCCAAACCGGACAATCTCTACACAAAAGAATAATTGAACACAAATCTGACATCAGGAATCATAACATTCAAAAACCAGTGGGAGAACACTTAACCTCTCTAACTACTCAGTGACAGACTTGAAGGTGGCAATTTTGCAACAAAAAAACTTCAAAAACAGACTCCAAAGAGAGACTGCTGAACTTGAATTAATATGCAAATTAGATACAATTAACTTAAGTTTAAACAGAGACTGGGAATGGTTGGATCATTACACTAATTGAATCTATTTCCACATGTTAAGTATCCTCACACCTTCTATGGGTCATCTGGATTATCACTTCAAAAGTTTTTTTTTTTTTTCTCCTGCTGATGATAGCTCATCTCAATTGATTGTGGTAATGCAAGGCCTTGATTGGGGTGGCATGTGAGGGGAGAGGAGAGTACAACAGGAATGTTGAAAGCACTACAGGGAAAGTGTATATGGGGTGGGAATACTTAATTCCATTTTATTTTATTGTAGGCATATTCGGTGAACTAATGGCCTGTTTAGTTGATGGGGCGGGGAAGTTGAACTTTAGAAGGAGGAACTTTTCTTTGTGTCTGAGGTTTTCAGATACTTTTAGATGAAATATGATCACAGTTGTTGTCACTGATCCAAGAGAGCCTCCAGGGCACTTTAAGCTCTGATATTGAGTCTATGTGCTGGAATAGACCAAAAGTTTTGCTGTGAAGAAAGCAGGATGCTGCGAAAGCACTTCTGGTGTTCATTACAAGAACTGTCTGCAAAACAAACTCTGCTGCCTAAATTGGGATGTTGAGACGTTCTGCCCAAACAGAGGAAACATTTGAGTACAATAGCTCTTTATATGTTGGGGACGACTTTAAAAATAACTGTTTACATCAACACGGATTGGTTTCTATAATTGGCAGCCAGATATTTAAATACTTCACAATTTTCAGCCAATCCAAAAAGTCTTGCTAGTGGAAGTCTATCTTGGCCTATCTCAGCCTTGGTCTTCGAAGTTTAAAAAAAAAAAATACATCTCCCAACATGTGTGGAGCACACTTAGTCTTACTACAAAATATTCTCTGTTTTGTGAGCCACCCCATTAGCTGCTGGTAGCAGTAGAGCAGTTGTTGATTTTACTGAGGATCATAAAATTACCTTTTCCCCCAGGAGTACCCGGGCAATATTGGCAAGTCATCTTACAGTGACTAGTCATGTAACCGGATGAGTTATTCTTCAAGCTTTTATAGTCATGCCTCTTCCAATATTTGAAAGTCTCTTGGGGCCTGACTCAGGAGAGAAGAAGATCATATTGACTTTTCTCCTGCCCATTTCATTTCTGAGGGCGTGTAATTTTTCACAGCTCCGTTGTGAACTGAGTTGACTGTATTAGGTTCATATTTGTGTTGTGTTCCAACAAGATCTGAAAGATTAGAGCACATGTCCTGTTTCTAACATTGATAGCAGTGTCTATTCTGTTCACAGGAATGCCCAAAATGCCATGTGACCATCGAAAAAGATGGAGGCTGCAATCACATGGTCTGTCGGAACCAGAACTGTAAAGCAGAGTTCTGCTGGGTGTGTCTTGGCCCATGGGAGCCACATGGATCTGCCTGGTAGGTTTAGAACCTTAAACTGGCGGAAGACAGGGCAGTTGTATTGCCAGCATTCTACATGTTTTAACTTCAGCCCATGAATTCACTCTTTTTTTTCAGGTACAACTGTAATCGCTACAATGAGGATGATGCAAAGGCAGCAAGAGATGCACAGGAGGTGAGTACATAACTCTTGGTGGGGATTGAAAGAACATCCAGTTTTGAGGAACAATTTCTTTTGGGTTTTGTAAACCTTTAAATACTTTATATTGTCACTTCTTGTTAAAATACACAAATAGTGAAGGTTGACAGTGAACCTCCAGGAACTGGATGAGCCAAAGTCCAAAAGACATTTAAATTTGATCACAACAATGAAATCTTCCTTTTGGGATAAAGTCAATGTACAATGTCCTCAGCACATTTTAAACTATGTGCTATTTGCTGCCTGCTGGTTTGTTGATTGCAGACATTGCATTCACTGAGATGTTCTTGAAAGCAGGCTCACTGAATTGCAGCTGGGTTAAACATTGTAGTGTGAATATGGGTAATGCAACCAGGAGGACTCTCTCAAATGGAGGGATTGCACCCTGTGTATTGCAGATTGCAGCAGTTCATTTCACCCACTTTGGCTAAGTATTCCTATAGCTGGTAACTAGCATATTTCCTGAAACACCCTCTACTACAAATGGCTGTAACATGTACTGAAGTATATAATAAGCCATCTTCTTCGCATCATATTTATCCTGTGCATGTCATTAGTACCTCAGCTAATCTGCCAGTGAAAAGAAAACTAGGATGCATTTGATTCATGCCTGTACTATTAATCAGTGATGCATTTCTCCATACTATATATATATTGCACCTCTTTCTCATACTCTGAGATCAGGTTTTTCCTTGATATAATGTAAATATCGGTATTGTGAAACTATTTAATATTTCATCTCTAGGTGCTAATCTGAAAATGTAATTTAAAAAAAATATTTTTGGCTGTACAGTCAATCTTGGTCATAGGTATTATTTCTAACAGCCACATTGTAGTAACCTATAAGCAGCACTTAACTTGGAAGGGTGTAAATCAGTGTTCTAATTAGGATATTAATTTCCTTTGTGGGTTGGACCCAGAGGTTGCAGTCAGGATCAGGCCCTTGTGTGCTGCACTGTACACACATATACCGGAATGAAATGACCCCATAGTGGATCACTTCCTGTTGTTAAATTCCCGAAAACAATTGTTGAATGTTCATAAGGAGATGATTTTGACATCCCAGTGGTCTATCGAGCGTCTAACAACTGTACAAAGCAACAGAGAGTCCTGTGGCACCTTTAAGACTAACCGATGTATTGGAGCATACATGCATCCGACGAAGTGGGCATTCACCCTCAAAAGCTTATGCTCCAATACGTCTGTTAGTCTTAAAGGTGCCACAGGACACTCTGTTGCTTTTTACAGATCCAGACTAACACGGCTACCCCTCTGATACTTAACAACTGTACAGAAGATGTGGGCTTACTTTGTGGGTCTAACAGCATGGAATGGCAAGAATTAGCAGTGATGCTGATGCAGAGAAGAGATTAATCACCATTCTGGTCTGGTTGGGGTTTTGAGTGACAATCTTATTTTCCACTTAGAGGCAGTAGTGGCCCCAAAGGAGCTAAGGTTGAAATGGGGGCACAGATCTTCAGGTATCCAATGGAAACAGAGGGCCTCCTTTAAAAAATAAATAAATAAAAGTTCTTCCTTAGATTTTGTTTTTTGGGTGCCAGCATGCACGCAGTCCTGTGCTTCATCTACAGGTAACTGGCTTTGTAAGGAGATGCATGCTAACTAAGGTCTTGTGACAAAGACATGTATGTCTACTTGTCAAGTGCCATTTAAAGGGTATGTAATACCAGATGACCTGTAACGAGTGATCAATACAGATGAGTTGTAACAACCCCTCTGATACAGTTGCCTAACTCTTCCCATTATCAAAACTTCTCTGGCAGTTTTTTTGACCTGCTCTAATGTCTGCTTGGTTTGCAGCAGGGATTTGAAATCTGCCAGGGGGATGGCCCTGTGGTCAGAGGGGTGCCTTTTGCTGCCTGGCAAAAATCCATTTAGGGATTGGATAAAATGAGCTTTGAAGGGATAAGAAGTTGTTTAGGGCCAACCCTGGCTGGCTAGCCTGCCTTTCTTGTGTGTCTTTAATGCTGTAGGGACAAGGTGGGTGCCTGTTTAATATTTAATGCTGAACAAAATTCCCACTCCTGGTTTCCACTCCCCACATTTTCTTGTGCTCACATGTGCATACAACAAAACCTCTGACTAGGGGATACGCCACTGCTCTTCCTTCTGCTGCTGACATGGCCTCTTCCCTGTCGATCTCAATATTTTTGACTTAAGGCATGAATTCTCTGACTTCCTTCCCTCTCCCATAACTAGGTGGGAGTGGGAGGCCCAAAACTTCTGTTGTAACCTGGGTCCAGAAGAGTTGTGACCGCGCGTGCGCGCTCTCTCATGATTTGATTCCCCCACCTTCTGAAATGGAGGTGGGTCATGATCTAGAAAAGGTTGAGAACCACTGACTTGAATGAAGATACACTTGGCTGGGAGCAAGTGAGGTTCTAGAGTTATGTTCCTTGCTGACTGTTGTTGGTGTTAAGTTTGTGAAGGGTACAAAATTTATTAAGAGCAAAACCTCATACTCCCCTGAGATTACACAAGGTCACTTCTGGCAGAACTGGGAAGAGACCCACACTCTCCTCCATAGTGGAACACAGTCTTACTTGCTTAGCCATACTGCCTCGCAGAATCTGCCATATCTGCACTTGGCCATGCTGTCTGTAAAATGGGGCAGCTCTTGCATATATAACCTACTGCCTTCAATGTGGTGCTCATTGTCCTTCGGTGGCTGTTCCACAGAGGATAACAACCTACTCCTGCTGACAGCTACTGAAGTTACTCTGTTAGCTCAGGTGCAGAAGGTCCAGAGTTCAAACCTTGCTGATAATTGGGTTGGGGTGTTAGTTGAGCAAAATAAAATGTTTTTTCGTTTTAAAAACCTACAAAATTACATACAAAAATCTACATTGGATTGTTAAAGAAAAATCAAGCACTCAACAGTTAGTAAATGCCAGAATTAAACCTGCTATTGTGCATGTGCACTAACACATTCCTCCATGCTCTGCTCTGCTCTGCTCTCCTCTCCTCTCCAAATAGGAACCCTGCCTTGTTCAGTGCTTGGCATGACAACCTGTGTGTGTGTGTGTGTGTACTGTAAATGGATTGTGTTTTAAATGTGTGGTTTAATTCTTCTTCTAAATGTCATGGGTGGGATTTCCTCCTGAAGTGCCAACGCCCTCCGTGTGACCTGGTTTTCCTCAGAGGGTGTGGACCTGCTTACTCAGAGCTGCACAATGACTGGGTGTGTTTCAGTGGTGCCCTGGTCCCATCTGAGCCTGATCTTTTGAAAGGTGCAAAAACATCTTTCGAATGGAAACTCTCTGGTCTGTTGGTCACAGTTGGATTCCTTCAGACTATTTGTTCTCTCCTAGTTTTCAGCCATTACTTTGTTGTAACTATTTATTTTCTTTTCCCTAATGGGAATTAACACAGCGATCCAGAGCAGCCCTGCAGAGGTACCTGTTCTACTGCAACCGCTATATGAACCACATGCAGAGCCTGCGCTTTGAGCACAAACTCTATGCTCAGGTGAAGCAGAAAATGGAGGAGATGCAGCAGCACAACATGTCGTGGATTGAGGTGCAGTTCCTGAAGAAAGCAGTTGATGTCCTCTGCCAGTGTCGTGCCACACTCATGTACACTTATGTCTTTGCCTTCTACCTCAAAAAGAATAATCAGTCCATTATCTTCGAGGTAGGGAAACACATTTGTACTCCTTACTTCAAGCAAGCAACACTACTGGGTACCACGGGGGGACTTGATCCATGGAAAGGAGTTACTCAGAGGCCATACAAATATGGGTTTATTGAGTATTCTTGAGTGCTGGTGAGACTGTGTAATAATCAGATCATCTAGGATCACATAAACATTCCCTGCTGAGGAAAGGGGAAAGTAAAGTAAACTGGCACTGTAAATCATTGTCTAACTGCTGTCTCATGCTATAAAATAATCACTGTATTATGAGACCTACAAAAAGCAAGTTTTAGGTTTTATCTGTTGAAAGTGTCACCTAGATCTTGGCTTTAACATTGTTTATCTATCCAATATTTCTTGGTTTCAGGGCAGTAGCAGTAGAATAGTGCTCAAAATCTAAAACAGTTCCAGAGCGTATGCTACATAGATAAAAGCAGTGATGGCTGTTAACTTAAAATCATTCACCATTATTCATGCAGGACCTAAGCAAAATGCTGTATGGCCTACAGTCCGTGGAAGGAGAGTAGAGTAACAGACCAATATTAAAAGCTGTGCTTTGTCATTGATTATGGATGCACCAGCAAAGATGTTGTTAGTGTTGAGCGGAATTAATGTACAAAGGATAGGAGGGGAAAGGATTCTGCTTGCCCTACAGGAAAAACCAAACAGGGAAACAAGCATTATATTCAAAAAACATAAAGGAAATTTTTGGTTGAATTGTGAAATGCATTCTCCTTTTCAGCTCTGATGTGTAGAGGAGCACACTCTGAAGTATAGAGGGGTAGCCGTGTTAGTCTGAATCTGTAAAAAGCAACAGAGGGTCCTGTGGCACATTTAAGACTAACAGAAGTATTGGAGCATAAGCTTTCGTGGGTGAATGCCCACTTCATCAGACGCAAGCGTCTGACTTGTGTCTGATGAAGTGGGCATTCACCCACAAAAGCTTATGCTCCAATATTTCTGTTAGTCTTAAAGGTGCCACAGGACCCTCTGTTGCTTTTTACACTTTGAAGTGTTATCCAACATAATTGTCCCCACCTACTTCTCATTTAGGTTAGGATTTCTAGTTGATTTGAGGAAATGTCTAAAAAAAACTGGCCCGACTCTGTCTTTGCAGAATAACCAAGCAGACTTAGAGAATGCTACGGAGGTGCTTTCTGGGTACCTGGAGCGAGATATATCCCAAGATTCGCTGCAAGACATAAAGCAGAAAGTACAAGATAAGTACAGGTACACTTTGAAATGAGTTTGTCATATATTGCACAGACCCTGACATCATCCCTCTGTAGGTCACTTTTGATATGGTAGGTAAGAGCCTGTGGAGAATGCACGTGTAACAGCCAGGCTGCAAGTTTCTTCCGGACCTTATCCCTTCTGAGAGTCTCACTTATTGTTGGCCTTCTGCTTTGTTTCTTGATCAGATCTCTGACCAGTCAGCTAAATCCAGCAGCAGGCTGATCTCCAGCACCCACACCCACACCAAACAAGCATTAGCAATGCTGAATTCCTAGTGGAGACAGGCTGCCAGCACAGTTTACAGCATGGTCATCTGGTCCTCTTGGGAGCAACTTGAACTGATGTGGTGCTGGAGGGAAGCCCACAGCAGGACTGTCAGCACTGTTAACTACTCTTCTGCTGAGCAGTAGTGGGAAACTTTCAAAGTGTCCCTAGTGTAGATAAGGCTCCTCTGTAAAGTATGGTTGCCTTTGGACCATGCAGTTGCTGCAAGGAAGGAGATTCTGAAAAAGACCAAGGAAGGTTCACGTGTAGTGAAGGGAGAGGGATGAGTTGGTTTAATGTTGTTTTCCAATAATTTTGCCTTGGGATGAGTCAACCATAATGTTTTTGTAGTTGGGCAGCTAGACTCCATTGCATCTTTGCCCTCCCTGACTGTAAGCTAACTAATGAATAGGCTATAGTGAGAGAAGAGAAACATGCAAGAAAGGGGGGAGAGTCATGTACTCCCTCACCACTGCCTCTTAGAGAGATGGGGCTTAGAGGGCACATATCCCACTGCTCCTGAAAGTCCTTGAGGAAGTGCTCCTACAATATGGAAAAATTAAAACTATAAACGTAGATGGGTCACAGTACTATGGGCTTCAGTTCTGAGGCAAGAGGCCAGAGTTACTAAATGTCTGTTATGTCTAGCAGGAAAAACAAGCCACTGCACAAGTAAAATGAGCTCTACTGACTAGGAAGTTTCCCCTGTGAATATAAACACTCATGATTGTATGATAAGAGGTACAACCCACTCCTGTAGTTGCTGGCAGCACTACTAGAATGGAACATTTCCATTAGACTCTGGTTTTGAGGAGTTTGTAACTTGCTCATTTTAACTGGCATTAGGTTGTTATTTTGGCTCTGATGCAGTTGCTCTTAAAATTTGTTAATTCTGTTATCAACTATCCAAAACAGACAAATTAAGACTAAACATGGTGTGGATTGCCTGAAAACACAGCATCCAAACCCACCTTTATATTTCTGGGGAGACTGTGTGGCCTTCCAAGCATGTGCAGGTCCTTGATTAACCAGATACTACCTTAATCACACAGCTTTAAAGAATTCTTTTGGGGAGTTCCAGTGAATGTCCACCTTGTTCATTCAGCTCTAGCTGTTTTTGGCCTATCAGCTTGTGATGCCCATGACATTTCTGGAAAACAGGAATTAGAAAAAGCTAGCAAAATAACTGAAGATTGGAAAGCAATTACTATACATGTTCCATTTATCACGTGTTCCATGAAATCAATGGGACTTTGTGCTATGATTTACATTCCAACAGCTGATACCAGTGGGAAGAACTAGAATAGGTTCATTCAAATAAATCTATCAGCTGGATCAGATGCTGAGGATTAAGGCAAGACAATTCTGAGTGCTGCCATTCTGTGGCTTTCCCTCTTGTTCCTAGATATGGTAGCATATGTAATCGAGGCTTGTTGGCTGTTTGAAGATTCCTGCAATAGACATACAGAGACAGCTTTTTTTTTTTTCCTTCTGCTAATGTGTATCTTGCCTTAGCTAGGGTGAGAGGTATTTCACTTTTGCAGAGAAGAAGACATGGTTCAGCTGTGAGAGCCCTTCAGATGACACTGACAGACAAATATGCCTGGAAACTGAACTTACTGCTCTGGTCACATGCCTCTCTACCTCCAGTGGGAGTCTTTAACTCATGAGTTGGTTCCTAAATTCTAGCTTCTCATATTACAGCTCAACATTTCTGTGCAACTGAATGGATTTGGCTCAGCTAACTGCTTTTCTGCTAGTGGTATTCTACCTGTGCTGTCAAGCTGCAATGATTAGCCATGGAATCAGTGGCATGGTCATGCCTGCTGTACTGAGAAACAATTAATGAAGTAAAGGTTTTTTTGTCCCTAACATGCAAGTGAGAGGGGGCAGAACTTGACATAGCCAGTGAACAGCATTTATCTCCGGAAATGTGTCAATAAGTAACATTAAAGGGACACTGAAGACTTATTTCTCATCTTTCTAGTTGGCTACTAGACCTGAAATGAACATGGTTCCTTTTGATTCATTGCTTTGCCCCAATGTCATTGATATTGGTAGGAGTGTACCTAGCTCTGGGATCAGTGTTAATTGCTGCTTCACCAGCAGGGAAATCATCATGTTTTGAGTGTATGCAGATTGGAGAGACTTTTTAGGACATAGTGGGCAAACTTTTCAGGCACATGCGGTGGTGTGATTCCTAGGGCAAATCCTTGGTCCAGCTGGGCTAACCAGCCATTGCTTTGTCTTTATTGCTTCCATCTTTACTATTTTGGAAGTGAACAAAATTGGACCCAGTCCGTTTGTGTTATATTGGCTTTTCTCGTCTGTCATCGTAACGTGGCCCAGTGGCTAGGGCACGAGGCTGAGAGTCAGCAGAACTTGGTTTCTGTTTCCAGCTCTGCCACTAACCTGTGCTGTGTTGTAGGTATGCCACAACCCCTCCATGTGTCCATCTTTCAGCTTGTAAAATAGGGATAATGCTGAGCTAGCTTTACAAATGACTTCCTTCTCTGCAGATCAAAGCACTATATTACGCATGTTTATGATGTGTACCTCACAGACCTCTTGATTGACTCCCAGGACTTGTCAAACCATGTCAAAGCATGACAGTCACTTGTGTATAGTGGCTAGAACAGCATACATGCAATTCCTAACCAGCATCTCAATGTGCTTTCCCCCTTTGCTGCAGATACTGCGAGAGTCGACGAAGGGTTTTGTTGCAGCATGTGCATGAAGGCTATGAGAAGGACCTGTGGGAGTACATTGAGGACTGAGACTAGCCCTGCATAAAATGAACTCTGAAAACTTTACCATCTAGAGTGCTCATGCAATTAAAACAAAACACACACAAAAAGAGGCACTACGCCTATTACACCGCTGGGTCTGTAGTACCGGGATTCTGTTTTTCTAACAGAAAATTTAAGTAAATTATATTGTAATAAAAAAGGTAGATAAACCATTGTACAACAGTATTCTAGGCGGCCAATAAGAGTGTGACGGACGCACTAAAAAAACCCTCCAACTTTAACTTGTAACGTAGCTTCATTCTCCAAGCCGACTCCTTTTTTTTTCTTTTCTTTTTTTCCTGTGTGTAGTACAGATGAAATTTAAACCAGTTTCTTGACACCGCTTTTCATGTCCAAACCAGCCATTTTGATGTACTTTGGTAAGGGGTTCTCCCTCTCCCTCCTCCTCTCATACACCCAAGTTCATGAATGAATGTTGATTGGCTCATTGTAAAGATGATTCTTGGGGAAGGGAGGAGGGGGGTACACAGCAAGGAAAAAACTTTGTATATGACTTTTAAAACAAAAAGAGGACAACACAGTATTTTTCAAAATTGTATATAGCGCATATGCATGGACAAAGAGCAAGCGTGGCACGTGTTTGCATAATGTTTAATTACAAAAAATATTTATTCTTTAAAAATCTTCAAGATTATGTCTATTTGCTGTGCATTTTCTTTGTTTGCTTTTTTTAAGCCCTGGGATTGGGGTGGGTGAAGTGTGTGCTGGTGTAGTGACTCTTTTGCAGGTTTTTACCTGAGAAGTTGAATTTCTCCTCTTCCTGCATCTTTGATTCCCTGGCCTCCATGGTTTGTGTGTCCATTGCTGGCAACGGAACCACCCCTTCAAATTTCCAGCTCCTAACGCAAACTGATTAACTTGGTGTGCGTTTCATTAGAGATGAATGTATGTTGTGATGCAGGATGCTTTGTCTTTTTCACCCAGAATGTCACCACAATCAAGCCATTCCCATGCACCCAGGACATGCGCTCTGAACCTGGCTGATGTTCAAATCTATAGGAAGTGTGTGTTAGGAATTTTTCTTTTGATGGAGGAAAAGGAGGATTCTCTCTTACACCACTTCTCAAAGAGCATTGAAAGAATTCAACTGTGGATCTCCTCTCCCTCCCCCTTTAGCTATCAAATGGAACATTCCTTGCTGTTTTTAAGTTTCACTTACATTATTACAAATCGTGACGTTGAAAAGGAAGATGGTGGAATTGTCTTTGTTTGTTTTGGGCTCAGTTATTGGGCAAACTGTCCTGGCAAGTATTAAACACTCCATCTAGCGCAGTAGCAATTGAAATCATTGGGATATTTTTTTCAATTAAAAGGGGGTAAGAACTAATGAGTTTTAGCTACTGAGTCCATTTTTATTATTTCTGTAACAAGAGCTATGTTAAAGTACACAATTGGTGGTGGTTTTATTAAATTTACTTCTGTATAGGAATCCCTTCTGTGGTATTTTTCACCAGGCCAGTGTCCTAAAAGCTTGCTGATAACCTACCAAGTTAAGGGGGAAGGAATAAAGAGGGGTAGCTGAGGCAGTCTACAGAGGTCCCTAATATGAAACACCTGTTTCTGCTGAGGTGGTCTTAGCCATTTCCTTCAGCTCTCTTGCACCTGGAGGGGATGCTGCTAAATGCTGACACCTACAGAAGGTTAGCTTTGGAATTCCACTCTTGCTGTGCATCAGCTTCTGCTGAAAGGGCTTGTTTATCTCAACCCCCCTTGCAGAATTGCACTGGAGCAGAATGACCACATGCACCCTCACAACTTGTGTCCTGTGCACTTTTCTTTAGAAGGCTGTGAGGGAAATTAATCCGAGGGTGTATCTCTGTGTATACAGTGAAGAGCTCTGTTCTGACAGGCTGGGCACACCACAATGTGGACATCACTAAAGGATATCTGGTCTCACTTCTCATTAAAACTGCTCTATCCTTGCAGCTCTCTACCACCCAAATTTTACTGATTGGCTCTTGAAAACATCAGGCCCAAAATGTATATTTCAGGTTAAAAATGTAAATCAAAATGCTTCCTAAAATAGCATCTCCCCCTGGAGTCAACTGAGGGGCACATCTAGCTGTGCTTTGTGGGTGGATGGGAGTCCCCTGAAATGAAATGTTCCTCAGCTGTTTAAATTTCCTGTGGTCAGGTTTTACCCTATTTGCTTACTGTCCCATCATCTGAGAATTGAAACCCAATGTACACATAGGAACTTCAGCTCCTAAAGATTAAGGGATATATTGTGTTCTTAAATCTTGATCTCTGTAGACCTCATTTAAGACAACTGCTTAAAACCACCATCTCCCATGTAGTGTTTAAGTTCTGCATAGGCTGTCACTATTCACTTACTTGCTGACCCTTTATCACAGTTTTCAATACTCTAATTCTCCATATTTATTGAAAATTACCTTTTTCAGTAATGCGGGCTGGGCAGAGTCCCTTGCCTAGTCTGAGACTGTTTGATCATTCACATCAGCTGGCAGGCCCTTTCCTTCTTTTAAGGGCAAATATTTGCAGTTAGAATGTATGGACTGGATGCTTGACAGCAGCAATACGCAAAATAGTGAATGGGCCTCAATAACGTACACTGGGCTAACTTTATGACCGGGTCCTACCACCAAAAAGCAGAATAGCAACACTATTAGCTTGACTTCAGAACCCTAAATCCCCTGTAACTCACTGCTGCTCTGGTGTTTTCTATACTATCTGGGTCAATGACTGTTTTTAATTAAGTTTTAGTACAACTGCTGTATTAGAAGTTAAGAGTGATGTAGAGCCACCTCCACAAAACACACACACACACACACACACACACACTCTGTCTTAACTGAGCTTTCAGCTGACAGGGCCCTATTAAGCACTTAGGGATGGTGAGACAATCAGATTGGTGGGTTGATTGATCCAGGACTCTTAACCTCCTATTTTCCATAGAGAGAGCACCTCATGCTGTGGAAATAACTCTTCTTAGGCAATTTCATTGTAACTGCTGGACTGTTCCATGTTAAGGTTACAGAGGGAGAGAGAGCATTCCTAATGCTAATAAACTTTTATTTTGTTATTTCATTAGTCATTTTTGTGTTTGTCATAAATTCCTCAGGTGCCCTGAAGGTACCTTGAGTGGTGTTGTAGGTAGGGTGACCTATTCATAGTTTGTCTACTGAATGACACACTTCTATCTAAAATAGTGATTTTGACATCATAGTATATATGTATCTGGATTTTTCTTATTAAAGTGTCCACTCAGATTCTGATGTCAGACCCATGGCTGAGTTGTCCAGGACAATGAAGTTTCTTAACATCCATATATTATAAACGCACTGCCAAGCACTAACAGTGACAGAGATGGTGGCAGCCCATAAAAGCAGTTGTGCCGGTCTCGTGGGGAAAGAGGGATGTGTGAGTCAGAGCTGGGTGGCTACCTCCCACAGTTGGAGCAAACAGGGACAAATTGCACTGTCATTCTAGAAATGGGCCTTTATAGCCTCCAGTAGTCTATCAGCAGTGGAGAAGCTTGCAGTTGATTAGCCTTCCTGATGACTAATGTTTGACATCTGGCTGCAAAGAGCCAAGGCATTCATGCTGCAGATTTCAATAATAATGCTGTTTAGCCTCTGCATCCAAAGCTGGAGTTCTTGTATTTACACAAAATATCAGTGTCTGGGTATCTTCCTCCCCTCTTATGAACTGACACTGATTTTTCATTTGTCACTACTTTACTTGGGGTAGGGGAAATAGTGTAATGACTTCTGAGTTCAAAGGAAGACATACAATTAGATGGGGGAATGGGATTAATTCTTTTATAAGAGCTTAGAGCAACGAAAACTTTGGGATGTGGTAATTAGCCCTTTTTTCAAAAATGTTTGAAATTGAAAAAAATTGAATGTTAAATGTCATAACTTCAGAATTTAAAAATCCTGTGTTCCTAGTTGGTTGAAAACCGCAAAAATTCCCTTTGTGCTTCTGTGATATACCGTTCTCTGTCTAAAAGACCCACCTTCTGTAAGCTCCAAAAGGAGAACAATGGAATCACTGCCCTAGGTGCCAGATCATGTGAACCCTTCTCTCCCAAGGTAAATCATACGATAAGAATACACAAGCCATTTAAACAAGCTTGCTGGGGCCACTTAGCTTTTAACACTACTAGAGTATCACTAGTTAGCCAACTTGACCCCACTCACTGTGGGTTTTTGGTTTTAATCACCTTCAATTTTGTCTCAATCCAAGTCTTGTCCGAAGGAACCTTTGACAAGAAATGACAAGCATGTTTTCAGTTGTCTATACTGCCACTTACCTAGTTTAATGTTTGACTAGCCACTCTTTCTAATTAGGCCTGGATTCTCAAAGGTATTTACATGCCTGAATGAATTTCAATAGGAGTTAGGTGCTGAATACCTTTTGACCATCTGGCCCTTAATGACTGCGTGCCCTTATGGGGTTCTAGGTTTGTGTCTGATACCAGCTTGAACTTGCTCGTTTTATAAGTGAAAAGATTTTCCAATTGTTAGCTGAGCAATCCCAGATCGGGGATGTATGAGTCAAGATGGTTTATCTTCTAATACATCACCACCCACAAGAGGTTGTTCAGGTCACTGCATATCGTGCAGCCAATTGAGCCTATTGCTTTCAGAGGCATTATGCAATGTAACTGAGGCCAGACTTTGGGCCTGTAGTTGAAACTTGGTAAGCTATTCTAAAAGCATAAACAGAACTAGAATCCAGCCACTTTTAGGGTTGTTGAGGGGGCTCAGTGCCTTGCCAAGGTGGCCACACAGACCTAAAAAGGGTGTGGGAGGAGGGATTTTAAAAGTCATTAAATCAATGGCTGGTAAGGAAGGTGCCATTTTCACATAGCCACTTTTCAGAGCAGAACAATAAATTTCCTTGTATTATGCTATAGCCTTTCCAAACTTGCATATTGTTAGTGCTTTCTGTTTCTTACTGTTCTGGATGGTTTTATTGGTGAGTGTGAAAAGCAGCCATACTTCATACATAAGCAATAACTTACTATATAGCTTGCCTATAACTCATGGCTGATTGTACCAGGTATTGGTACTCTTTCCACTTTGTTTAAGATATGTGCCTTCAGCCACCTTGGGATTGCTGGTGTGCCAGGTAACTAGCCTCCTTGAAGGAAACATAGGGTAGCTTTACTAAAAGCTCATTTCTTTCAGCTGCTTCAGTATTTTTTGTAAACTTTCCTCCCTTAAATTCTAACAGCATGGTGGGTGCTAGGTAAAGAGAGGCATTTTCCTATGAGCCAGCAGCTGATCTTGGCAAGAGATTCTAACTCAGCTGGTGCCTGCAGTTTCCATGGCAATGCTACCTTTTCTTCCCAGAGCTGTTATCCAGTTCTGTGAATAGAAAGACAGCGATAGCTGAGGCGTTAAGACTTTCACAGCCATTTCTGCCAGGGGTTTGTAGGTGTTTTCTTCTAACTAGTACCTGCAAGCTATAGGATACACATGGCTCCTACAGGCGGTTTTAAACTGTATACAAACTTAGTCTTCCTACTGTTTAATTGTAGAGTTTGGGCATTTCTAAGCTACAGCTACTACAACGGCACAGTAGTATAGACACCTCCTACATCGAGGGAAGGGTTTTTTCTGTGTGTAGATGCAGTTAATCAATTTCTTCAAGATGTGGTAGCTAGGTGGGGGAAAGAATTCTTCTGTCAACTGTCTCCATAGCAGCAGTTAGGTCCACATAACTATACATTTTTCATAACCTGGAATAACATAGCTAGGTCAAGCTAATTTTTAAGGATCAGGCCTCACGTGAAGTGACTGAGTTCTGTCTATGCTGTTCAGTTTAGAATCATAGCATATTAGGGTTGGAAGGGACCTCAGGAGGTCATCTAGTCTAACCCCCTGCTCAAAGTAGGACCAATCCCCAGACACATTTTTACCCCAGTTCCCTAAATGGCCCCCTCAAGGATCAAACTTACAACCCTGGGGTTAGCAGGCTAATGCTCAAACCACTGAGCGATCCCTCCCCCTGAATAATATGGAATAAAGTTTACTCAGTTTAAGTATAAAGATTCGGTTTTAATTCGTTCTTTTATGTTCTTTATTCAGACTTGCTCATGTGCAAAGTCAGAAGCAAGGAAAATTACTACTCTAGCCTTAATTCTAACCAATGATTTGGCTCCATAGAGTATACTGAGCTGATCCTGCATTCCCTGAAGTTCATGGAAATTTTTGTATCATCATTATTGGAAGTGGGTCCTCAGAGGGTAGAATAATTCAAGCTTTTACTGTTATCCGCTTTGGTTTAAGTTCATGCAGGTGTTACCATTGCCGTAGGATCACCCATTGACTAGAGTATTTTACATTCGGTTGCCCTACCCAATCGTTTTGCTGCTATTCTAAATAATGGAGCCTCCACTAGCTCAGACAAAACACAGTAGACCCAGATCCTCAGAGGGCTCTAGGCCCCCTCACCTGCATTCAAATTAGTGGGCTAGAAGTGCTGCCTATGTGCTCTGGGGCTTTAGCCCTTACACCAGGTGTCAGCACCTTTCAGAAGTGGGGTGCAGCGTCTTCATTTATTCACTCTAATTTAAGGTTTCGTGTGCCAGTCATACGTTTTAATGTTTTTAGAAGGTCTCTTTCTATAAGCCATTAATATATAACTAACTATTGTTGTATGTAAAGTAAATAAGGTTTTTAAAATGTTTAAGAAGCTTCATTTAAAATTAAATTAAAATGCAGAGGACCCCGGACTGGTAGCGCGAGTGCCACTGAAAATCCGTTTGCGTGCCGCCTTTGGCACACGTGCCATAGGTTGCCTACCCCTGCCTTACACCCTGCTGAATGCAAACAGCAGGAAAGCACTGACCTAAGCTTTATGGGACAAACAACACAGGAATAAGAACAGGAGTACTTGTGGCACCTTAGAGACTAACAAATTTATTTGAGCATAAGCTTTCGTGGGCTACAGCCCACTTCTTTGGAAGTACTCCTGTTCTTTTTGCAGATACAGACTAACACTGCTGCTACTCTGAAACCTACACAGGAATAATCAACCCTGCAGTGAACTGGAAGTGAAAACTGATAACGACTGCCAGACCTGCTCCTACGGCCGCCCTCCCCTCTGTCCTAGCCTACTCACAGTCAGGGCCCTGTGCCCTCTACCCAGCCATTTCCCCTGGGAGAGATAGCTGAGCAAAGTCCTCAGCTCGCTTCCGCTACCCACTCCCGGAGATTCCTCCCCCAACCAGCTCCGGATTCATTTCACCCCACCCCGCCAAGCCGGGGATTCCCCACTGGCTCCCGCGCTCTCAGGACAGGCTCCGAGCTCGTGAGCGCTCGGCAGCACTGAGCTGGGCCCATTGTCGTCACCGACCCCCTAGTGCCCGCGAGCTCTGACGGCTGGTGGCGGCTCCCAGCCAGCCGGGCCGAGCATCGGGCGCAGCACCCAGCAGGGGACCGTTGCCTGGGCAGCGCCCAGGGGTGGCTCAGCGATTAACTTGACACAGCGGGGAGGCCCCAGCCGGCGCCGGCCCCGCCACCAGAGGCCAGTGTGGGTAGGGGCGGGGCTCCCCGGCCTGAGGCGGAGAGACGCGCCCTCCGGGAGGGGGGCGGGGCGGGGCTTCCTCTGGGGCGCCTTCTTGCGGTTTGTTCCTCTCTATGGCTCCTCCTCTAAGCTCTTCCGTGTCAGCTGGTAACCTTGATAACGGACAACTTCCGATAAGCGAGACCTGGCAGTAGAGCGATGGCGGAGCCGAGACTTGGAGCCGAGCTGGTGAGGGGCGGGGACCCTCAGGAACCCCCTTCCTTGCTGGGACCCTGCTGCCGAGGCCCTCTTTCCTCTGCCCCGTCCCCATGCGAGCTCCCTGAGGCGCGGCCCTGCACCCAGCTCTCCGCAGAGCCCCGAAGTCCCATTAGCCCCGCTCCGGCGGCAGAGGCCTTGATTCCCGGGGCGCTGCTGTGCACGGGCCTTCGGCGCTCAGCGGGCGCGGGGCTGAAAAGACCAGGTCAAATCTCGTCTGTAAGGAGGCTCCCCCCCCGCCCGCGGCGTTAGCCATCGTAGGGTCCCGCTCGGCCTGGCTGCGCCTGGAAATTAGACTTCGTACCAATCTAAGTGTCTTGATGCACTTACGGAGGAGCCAGCCCAAGGGGTGGGAGGCGCAAAATGAGGGATCCTTACAAGGGGGGTCGGGGTGGATCTCTCTGGGAATGCTGGGGAGTGGGATGGGTGCAGATGCAACATTAGTACCTGTGATGCAACAACAGGGCAGCTGCACCAGTACTAATGCTGGTGTAAGCTCTGCTGGAGACAGGGGGCTCTGGCATTCTCCCACCACCTTATTTAGATGATTTCCTAACCCAGTGCTGAAAAGGGCCCAGGTGCACTATTGCTCTGATGGGGAGGGTGACCTAAGCCTTGAGGTAAATGGGATACTGGGCGGAAATACGAGGAGGGTGCAACAGAGGGTGCCTCCTGATTCATACTGAGAAAGCAGGGCAATCAGCTAGTTACCTTAGGTACAAAAGGAGCACTTAAAGATGATAAAGTCATTGCAGGGAAACTAACTGAATTCTTTGCTTCAGTCTTCACGGCTGAGGATGTTAGGGAGATTCCCAAACCTGAGCCTCCTTTGTAGGTGACAAATCTGAGGAATTGTCACATATTGAAGTATCTCTAGAGGAGGTTTTGGAATTAATTGATAAACTTAACAGTAACAAGTCGCCGGGACCAGATGGCATTCACCCAATAGTTCTGAAAGAGCTCAACTGTGAAATTGCGGAACTATTAACTATGGTTTGTAACCTGTCCTTTAAATTGGCTTCTGTACCCAATGACTAGAAGATAGCTAATGTCACACCAATATTTAAAAAGGGCTCTAGAGGTGATCCTGGCAATTACAGACCGGTAGGTCTAATGACAGTACCAGGCAAATTATTTGAAACAATAGTAAAAAATAAAATTGTCAGACACATAGAAGAACATAACTTGTTGGGCAAAAGTCAACATGGTTTCTGTAAAGGGAAATCATGTCTTACTAATCTATTAGAGTTCTTTGAAGGGGTCAACAAACATTTGGACAAGGGGGATCCAGTGGGCACAGTGTACTTAGATTTTCAGAAAGCCTTTGACAAGGTCCCACACCAAAGGCTCTTAATTTATGTAAGTTGTCATGCAATAAGAGAGAAGATCCTCTTATGGATTGAGAACTGGTTAAAAGACAGGGAACAAAGGGTAGTAATAAACGGTAAATTTTCAGACTGGAGGGAGGTAACTAGTGGTGTTCCCCAAGGGTCAGTCCTAGGACCAATCCAATTCAATTTATTCATAAATGATCTGGAGAAAGGGGTAAACAGCGGGGTGGCAAAGTTTGCAGATGATACTAAACTGCTCAAGATAGTTAAAGACTAAAGCAGACTGTGAAGAACTTCAAAAAGATCTCACAAAACTAAGTGATTGGGCAACAAAATGGCAAATTAAATTTAATGTGAATAAATGTAAAGTAATGCACATTGGAAAAAATAACCCCAACTATACATATAATATGATGGGGGGCTAATTTAGCTACAACTAATCAGGAAAGAGATCTTGGAGTCATCGTGGATAGTTCTCTGAAGACATCCATGCAATGTGCAGCGGCAGTCAAAAAAGCAAACAGGATATTAGGAATCATTAAAAAAGAGATGGAGAATATCGTATTGCTATTATATAAATCCATGGTATGCCCCATCTTGAATACTGCATACAGATGTGGTCTCCTCATCTCAAAAAAGATA